TCGGGTGGTTCTTCTCCATATCCACTTCATGTTGAAGTCTTTTCATAACCGTGTTTTTTTCATGATAACTGGCTCCTCTGGGCTGTTGTAGAGAGGCATCTTGTGTACAATAGCTGAAAACTAAATTAGTCCACACGTGGAAAAATAAAAAATAAAATTAAAAAAACAAAATAAAAGAAAAATAAATCAACAAATAAAAGAAAATAAATCAAATAACTAAATCCAACTTTCTTTAGTTTTGGTTTTGAGATAAAAAGAAGATAAAAGGACCAGAAAGTGCAAGCAAGCAGGGAGCAGAGAAAAGAGCGTGTGCACACACTGAAGCAGCAAAGCAGTGTTGAGTATATTGTTATTCAACCAAGAATTAGTTTAGTTCGTGTGTATATTTCACATTGTTTGTTTTCGTATAAAATGACTTAAAAGTAGGTTTTGGAAGCACATTTTCTCGAGCCGCCATGTGGTATTGCAAGTATTACAATCTAGACAGTTGTTGGGTTTATTTTGGAAACTCCTGAGCACATGCTTTATTTTTTAATAATAAGGATCTAAATGCACCTATGGGGAAATAAGTATTGTATTTGTATTTCACAATGGTTTATTCTGTGATTATTTTTTTTTTTATTCAGAAATGTTTATTCTGAAATGTTTAGAGTTAACATAAGCATATTCCATGCTGCATTTTTCAAAGACCTGTACATTTTACAGCAGGTTAACTTTGTATTAGTTGGGCAGGCACATTTCTTGTGGAGTAAATACTTAATATTTAAGTATTTTTGAATCAGTATTATGCTGTGATATAAAATGGAGTGACTTTATGCACAAAAACTGTTAATGTAAATATATGATTATACAAATGTGTTCATCTCAGGAATATAAGTTACCAAGAAGATTTGGTAACATAAATGTGATACTGAAGGTGGTTTAAAGGACTTTTGCAACTGAATTGAGGAACTGAGTAAGCAGAGGTTAACCATACTTAAGTTAAAATGCAGCATTGTTTGTGACGAGAGAATGTTCAATAAAGAGACATAATTTAGAAGAAACTGTTTCCATCCTTTCCTCACTTCTCCTCTTTCACCTGCTTTAAACAGGTAAAATATTTGTTAATGTGGTCATCATACTTTGAGACCTGTAGCATGTGCAATGAATCTAAAATATATCAATGTTCAAGTTTTATCATTACATTATGGAAAATAATGAACTTCATAACAATATGCAGATACTTTGAGAAGGACCTGTAATTTTTTATCACTAGCAAACAAGAGGTCAATTCTGTGGAAACCAATTTTTGGTGCAACAAACTTTTTTTAATCTTTTGTAACCACTTGTGCAAGCGAATAGGCTCTACTCTATATATTGTTATCATTGAAGATGTGTGAATTTATTACACCCTGGTATGGGCTGCCTGTATGGGCAAAGATTTGCAAATGGAATTAGAGTGGTGTCCTATTTTGATAATGCTGGAGCCATGGATGTCTAATCATCTGCTAATGTGTATGGCGTAAAATATGATGATGTGGCAGACTGGCGATGTATAAAATGCCTTTTTAACAATTAATCAGGCCACTTCCTGAGAGGTGAGCCCAGGGGTTGGCAACTGCCTTCTGTAACCCTAAGCAATGTCTCTGATCTGAGTAAGATTACAATTTCTATCAAAACCTGTTGTCATGTATCCTGGTTTTTTAATACATATAAGTAATGAAGTGTTTATTTAAAGAGTTTGTCCCGAGTGATCTCTTTTCATGAAAAAAAAAAATGGAGGAGATAGAGCATCAGGGTGCCTACACAGAGCCTTTAACAATATCTAGGGGGATGAGGAACCCAAGTTAGAGCTCACTAACAAATTCTGTGTAACAGTGACGCTCTCCACTTGCAAGTGTCTGAATTAAAAGATTGCTTTGTTCCTTGCAGTCTGCTGTGTCTCAGGCTCCAATTTCTAACACACTTCACAACCTCCAGGTTTATGCCCACTAGAGACTGACATTTTTTCGGGAATCCCACGGGAATCCCGTGACCCGTGGGATTCCCGGAGTCAGTATTAGTAACGATCAAGTGATTGGGACGGTACAGGATTAAACATTAACGGGAGCAAACCAATAGTAACTAAAAAAAACTAGGATCGATGCCAAAAAATAAAATAAAATAGAAAGAAAAAAAATCCAGTACTGGCGCCGCCATTTTGTAGTTTTTTTCCTTGAAGCCTACACTATAATGCGAGTCAAAAAAACTACACGACCCAAAAACCAACAGTGCTGCCGCTCTGAGTTTTTCAAAAACAACAATGGAGGGACCGATGGAGGGACCAATAGTTACTACAGTTAGAATCAGGAACTTAACTGACCCTTCATAGAAATTCAGATTCAATGTATTGGCAGAAATCTTATTGAAGACAACAAGAATGGGAGTGGTGCAGGAGCGGGAGTCATTCTGAATGGGAGCGGGATGGGAGTGGGAGTAATTTCACCAGGAGTGGGACGGGACAGGATTTAGATTTCTACTCTGGCCCGGGATCGGGACGGGACACAATTTTTTTCTGTGGGAGTGGGACGGGACAGGAGTGAAAATCCGCTCCCGTGTCAGTCTCTAATGCCCACCTCCACCATCCCGATTCATTAATGGGACCCGGTCTACGCAGTCCACCATCTTCTGAGGTCTAGGCGCTCCAGTATTTGGTAGACTGGGAGGGTTATGGGTCTGAGGAAAGGTCCTGGGTCCCAGCCCGTTTTATCTTGGACAGGGATCTGGTCAGGGCCTTCCACAGATCACCCTGATCAGCCTGTTGGGGTGTCTGGAATCTGCCCTTGAGGGCTGATGGTTGGCTTTTTCCATCTGCTCCTGCTCACGGTGCCTAATTGGCCCTGCTGATCTGATTGACCTGGTCCCCGCAGCTATTTATTCTGTTTGCTATACTGCCATCAACGCCAGATTATTCACACTGTCTCAGTGTGAGTAACTCTAGCATTCAAAATAAGTTTTCTGTGTTGTGAAATTCTGATTGGCTTTTTGCACATGTATTTTCCTTTTTTGCCTTTTTTCCTGTCTGTTCTGTCTGTCAGTGTGATTTTTGGTCTGACTGCCTGGATTTTGCTGGTACCGTCTTGGACTGTTTTACTAACCTTGGCTTGGATTCTCACTGGATACCTCTTTGGTTCTCTAATCTCACCTGGTTTCTGAAATTGTTCTGGACTGGATTTTGGCTTTGGATTTTCTCTAACGGACACTGTTACTTGCGCCTCGTCCGCAGAAGCCAGCAGAAGCGGCGGACAATAAACCCCCGGGTTTCTCCACTCTAAGTATCGGACTGAACTCTTAACTAGGTCTGTGACTTTTTTTAGTCTGTTTCCGCTCATGATTCTTGTCGTTGACCAGAGTTTCATGTCTCAGCAGAGAATGTGAGAACCTGCTCTAAAGAGTATCCGTTGCTCTCATTTTATTTTAATAAACTTATTTAAAACTTTGTTTGTCTGCTGAATTTTAGGTCCAGGGTTCAGCGCCTGTTACAGTATCAGTTTTGAAAAAAAAAACAGTAAATCAGGTTAGATTGAACCAAGTTGAATGTATATTCACTGCACAACTGGAGCAAGTACAAAGGCTCTGACAAGACTTTTCAGCTTTGTAAAATATGCTGCAGTCATTATATAATGAACTAACAACAATGATGCTAACAAATCGATGTGAGATTTTTCTCAGGTTACCTTGGCAGATGAAAAAGGTGTTTGTGTACTTCTGAGAGTATTTTAATTATAATATTGCAATTAGTCCAATATCAAATACCTTTTTGTTCTCAAGGCTGTCAGCTCTAAAGTTGCCCAACCAAATATAAGCATTTATTTGTTGTTGGAGGCTTGCTTCCAAAAACATAGACCAACCACAGCGCTGTCATCCTTTTAAGCTTAAAAGTAGGGCAATCGCATTGGCATAGGAAAATATATTTCTTCAAAGGTATTTTTGAATCAGAAAAGACTGGACTAAGAAGTAGTTAGCATTAGAACTCAGCAGAATCGCTGATTCCCCAGGTGCTCATTAAATGTGGCTGTTGATAGCCTGCAGGGGCTGTATGGAAGGAGTCTTCTTCAATTGGGAAGCTCGACTTGGAGACTGCGGCCCAATCCCAAATCTGCCTCTAAAGACTACCCTTACACACTAACCCTCCATTTGTGCTTTTCTGTGGAAGCTCCGCCATATTAATGACTGTCTAAAACCACGTAGTGGGTAGAGCAAGGGGACAGTTCAGCCCTCAATTTAGGAGGCTGCATCAGTGCAGACTGGATTTAGGCAGCAGTTGCAATGGAGACCTAATGGCTGAAGAAAACACTTGCATTCAGATGTTAATTCTCTGATTTGCTACGTCTTTGTCAAGCTGACAGAACATCTCAAGGTAGAAAGAGGAAAAAGTTTGAATTAGTTGTATTTGACTGTAGGAATGTATTTTCAAGAAAAGGAAAATAATAGAATTGATGGATTCCTTGAATCACTCAAACGATCTATTTAAAATAGGGAGAGTAGGGAAGGTTGAAACATATTTAACACATCTCTATCAGATTTTTATGGATTATTTGTATTAAAAAGAAAATATTTGTAGAAATAAACTCCTACCTGACCTGTCCCCTATACATCCATACAGTTTCACACAAGAGCTTAATTTAGCTCGGGACCCAGCGGGACCCATGTCACAGACTCTGTATCACACTGATAACACCAAACCAAAATAATGCATATTTGAACCATATATATAAATGCTCTGAACTTCCATATCCATGTTTTTTTTTGCACCACTTCTTTTCTCCCACACTGTTTACATTTGATCACTGCTGCACTTTATGGAAAGGAAATGTTCTGAAAAAGAAATTTTGTTTTGTATACACTCTGTGTAAACAACATGACAATGAATAAATAGATAAATAAAAGTCATTTTGACCCTTTATTAGCATAAAATATTTGAAATACTGTGTTCAAATTTATTTAAATTTGACTACAATTTTTTTTTGAAAAATCTAATTAATGAATTAATCCTGCACAAAAGAAGGATTTCAAATATCACGTAAAACTCTCATATTTAGAGTAATATTAATAACATTATTCCAGTACTGCAAATCAAGCATTATTTACAGCAATATGATCCAGTAAAGTATTACATTTTATTTTCTAACATATGCACAGTCAAAATTAACAGAAAGCAATAATTAATGACTTCATGTCCCAATGGTTGGTCCTGTGATGAACTGGTGAGCTGTCCAGGTGGGCCTCCTCTTCTGGCCTGATGACGGCTGCAGACAGACACCAGTTCCTGCTGTAACCTTGAAGTTTCATTGGATTGATGGATGAAGAACGGAGAGCCTTTAAACTGTGGACTAGACCTCCTCCTTGTCTCCTTGAGGTTCATGATGCCTGAACCTCCGTCACTCTGTTGACATCATCTGCTTCATCTGTGTCCTGTGGAAATTAGACAATGAAGAATTATTTTCAGACTAAAATCTCTTTAGTCTCTCTGGATTTCCTCTTAATCTCTTCAATGAAGATTTAAACATTATCTTTCAAACAGCAGCAGTGGATCAGCTCCTGTGGACATTAAACAATCAAGAAATATGTTGATGTTGCTCCTTTGACTGACGCTTAAAACTTAAAAAGTTTCAGGAGGATATTTCTTTCATTACTCAGCCCACTTTACAGAGGCATCATTTTTAGGTTCTTTTTAAGTCAAATATCAGGTTTAACAACCATACATTAAAATTATTGCTTCAAGGAAATCATGCATTATTATTTGCTTTGCTAAGGATGAAAAAAATCATTTTAAACAACATTGTAACATTAAATGTCTGAATAAAAAATGAAATAAAAGTCTCCAATTTCTGTTTAAAGAATTTTAAATACATTGAATATAAACAAGCTTGTTGGGATCTGGAGGCTTTGTCTACCTTCTCCACCAGAGGGCGCACGAGATCTCCTCAGGGCTTGAGCTGACCGCAACACCTGTCTTCCATCTGCTCATCAGGAGGCCCTATTTAAGGAAGAACAGGCTGACACTTCCCTGCCGCCCACTCTGGGTCTCCGGATCGACCTTGCGGCACGCCAGGTGTGCGAGCGGTTGATGCGAAGCGGAGAAAAGGTGGTTGACATAAACTGGTTTGTGACTGGATCGGGATGACAACTAAGTCAGATGGGGGTGGTAAGGATGATATGGATTTTGATGAGTGGACATCGGTAGGAGGAGGAAGAGGTAGAGGGAAGGCGAAGGTTCTGAAAGAGGATAGAGTAATTGGTAGCCAGAACAGTAAACGAAGTTTGGAAGAGTACAGCTCAGATGAAGAAAACAGAGCAGTCAGGAAGAAAGTAAGAAACGAAGAATTTAAGGTAATTCTTAAATTCAGGAACGAAGATATAAATGTTAACCTAAGCCCGATTCAAGTTTCAAGGGAAATAAAAAAGAAACTAGGGGAAGTGGAATTTGTTAAAACATTACGAGATGGAAACATGTTGATAAAATGCAAATCTGAAGAACAAAAGAATAAATGCATGCAGATTGACAACATTTGCAAAAAAAGTTGTTAGTGAGAAACTAATTGTTGGAGAAAATAGAGTATCACGTGGTGTTATTACTGGTATTCCGCTGGAGGAGGATTTAGAAAGACTCAAAAAGCATATACAGGGGGGAGAAGTTCGGAGATTGAAAAGATTGCAAAAGCATGTAAATGGAGAAAAAATAGAGAGCTTATCGATTCTTTTGGAGTTTCAAGGAGAAGTCCTTCCTGATAAGGTTAAAATTGGATTTATGAGTTTTTCTGTAAGACCATATGTCCCTCCCCCTTTGCGCTGTTTTAAATGCCAAAGGTATGGTCATATCGCAGCAGTATGTAAAGGGAAACAAAGATGTGCCAGATGTGGAGGAGATCATCGATATGATGAATGTGGAGTGGATGTACAAATGAAATGCTGTAACTGTGGGGGTCAGCATAATGTAGCATATGGAGTTTGTGAGGCAAGGAAAAAGGCAGCAGAAATTCAAAAGTTGAGAACAATTAAAAACATCACTTATGCAGAGGCAGCAAAAAGTGTTCAAGAGAAAAAAACGGTTCAGAAAAGTCAACAAGTAATGTCTAGCACAAGTGCTGATCCCAGCCAAACTTCAAAATCTGGAATGGAGATCACAATGAATAAATTAATATTAATAATGGCATATGTAATCAACTGCACTGATCAAGTAAAACAGAAAACAGAAAAAATTTAAATTATAGTGAAAGGTGCAGAAAAATTTTTGGCAGTGAAGGATTTATCTTGGGAACTAATAAATAAAAGGCTTGAAATGGATGGAAAACAAGGTGGAGGAAAAATTCAATGATTATCTTACAATGGAATGCAAGAAGTCTAATAGCAAATGGTCAAGAATTGAAAGGATATATAAACTGTTTGGAAATTAAACCAGATATTATTTGTGTTCAGGAAACATGGCTTAGACCAGAACTAGATTTTGTGATTTCGGGATATGATAGCATTAGAAGGGAAAGGGAGAAAGAAAGTGGAGGAGGTTGTATAATATTTGTTAAGCAAGGGATTCAGTATAGGTTTGTAGATAAAGGATCATCTTTAGAATGGGTATCTGTGGAAATTTGGATTAACAAAGAAAATATTAGGATAATAAGCTTTTATAATCCCTGTAAAAAACGGAGTTTGGATGAAATAGAAGAAATGTTTAAAAATCTAGGAAAAAGTCTAATCTGTTGTGGAGATTTTAATGCTTTTAGCACTGTATGGGGTCATAAAAATGATGAAAACTGAGAAGTGGTAGAACATATAATGGATAAGAAACAATTGGTCTGTATTAATAATGGAGAAGGGACAAGAATTGATATTAGAAATGGAAATGAATCAGCGCTAGATCTAACTCTAGTATCAGCGAATTTTGCTGGGATTAGTAATTGGAAAGTTTTAAAAGAATCAACATTAGGAAGTGACCATTATCCTATTGTTATTGAAATCGGTTTAGAAATAGAGAGTTTTTAATAGAAATATAGAAAAATTGAATTTTAAAAATGTTGATTGGGAAAAATATAAAATAATAAGTGATGAAAAAATGCTAAAGGTTAATTTAAATTTGGATATAGATAGTGTAAATTCTTCTATCTGCGAAGCTATTTTAGGAGCGGCCCGAGGAACGATTCAAAAGAAAAAAGGAGAGTATAAGAGAAAAATAGTACCATGGTGGACAAAGGAATGTGATTTGGCAATTAAATCTAGAAATAAAGCTTTTAGACTGTTAAAGAGAAATCAGAATTTTGAGAATTTGTTGGCATATAAAAAGTCACAAGCTTTGGTTAAAAGAACAGTAAAAAGTGCTAAAAAGGTTTATTGGGGAAATTTCTGTAATTCAATAGGAAGGGAAACAAATATTTCAAAAATCTGGGGAATGATTAAAAGAATGAATGGAATTAGAAGGGAATATGGTTATCCAGTTCTTAAGAATGGAGATGAAATGGCTCTAAATGAGGAGGAGAAAGGCAGATATGCTGGGTAGGAAATTTGTTGAAATACATAGTAGCAATAACTTAAATATCGAAGAAATAAGGAAGAGAGCTTCTATTATTAAGGAAAATAGTAATCTATTAGAAGTAGATACAGAATATAATGATCTTTTGAATAATTCCTTTTCATTATTTGAATTGAACAACTCTTCAAGGAAAACAAAAAATTCTTCTCCAGGAAAAGACAATATCTGTCAGGATCCGGGACTTTGCCCACCAGAGTGCGCAGTGGATCCAAGCCTAGGGAGTTTGGACTCAGCTTGATCAGCTGTTTGTTGTTCTGCTGATTAAGGAAGCTCCCTATATAAGCTATATGTGATTTTCTCTCTGTGCTGGATCGTTTGTTTTACCTGTGCCATCATGCCTGTCTGAGCCTTGATCCTGTAAGATTCCTCCGTGTTCCAATAAATGTTGGACTTTTATTCCTCTCTCCGTGTCTGTGAGTCTGCATATGGGCTAGAGAAACCAACGCCTCATGACAGAACGATCCAGCCAACAGACTAGCCCCGCAGACTCCTTCTACGCGCTCCTGGTGAGCCCGCTCTGTGCCGTCTAGGAGACTCCAGAGCCCGCTCTGTGCCGTCTGGAAAACCCTGAGCTCGCTCTGTGCCGTCTAGGAGACCCCTGAGCCTGTTCTGCGCCTTCCAGAGCCTTCGGAGGTGGAGCCACAAACGGTGGATCCCTCGGTTCCTTGAGGTGGAGCCACATTCGGTGGATTCCTCTGTTCCTGAGGCGGAGCCGTATTGGGCGGACCTGTTGCAAAGCTGCGGGAGCGTGACGGCGTCCTTCCCGGGGCTTCATACGGAAGCGGAGACAGAGTTTCTCCCGGTGCTTCCTGCTGAAGCGGAGTTGACGTCCTCTTCCAAGGCCCTGCAGCTTTTAAGACTCTGCTCTGCTGCCGGTTTCATGGCCGGCCACCTGAGACTTTTTCTGGCATCCCTGGTTCGCCCTTCGCCCTCCATGGGCGAGTTGTTTTTGTTTTCTTTGGGGCGTCTGGAATCCGCCCTTGAGAGGGGGGTACTGTCAGGATCCGGGACTTTGCCCACCAGAGGGCGCAGTGGATCCAAGCCTAGGGAGTTTGGACTCAGCTTGATCAGCTGTTTGTTGTTCTGCTGATTAAGGAAGCTCCCTATATAAGCTATATGTGATTTTCTCTCTGTGCTGGATCGTTTGTTTTACCTGTGCCATCATGCCTGTCTGAGCCTTGATCCTGTAAGATTCCTCCGTGTTCCAATAAATGTTGGACTTTTATTCCTCTCTCCGTGTCTGTGAGTCTGCATATGGGCTAGAGAAACCAACGCCTCATGACAATATCTCTTATATTATGATTAAAAAACGTAGTAATTCATCTAAAAAGATATTATTAGATTTCTTTAATAAGATATGGGAATAGGTTTATTTACCTGTGGCATGGAAGGAAGCAATTATAGTTCCAATTTTAAAGCCAGGGAAAGAGAAGTCAAATCCTACAAGTTATAGGCCTATTGCTTTGACATCACATATATGCAAAATAATGGAAAGAATGGTAAATGAAAGGCTGAATTATTTTGTGGAGAAGAAGGGGTTTTTGTCACAATTTCAGAGTGGATTCAGAAAAGGTAGAAGTACTATGGACCCTGTTTTGTGTCTAGAACATGAAATCAGAAAAGGGCAAGTTAATAAGGAGAGTGTGGTGGCTGTCTTCTTCGACATAGAGAAAGCCTAAGATATGATGTGGAAAGAAGGGTTTTTAATTAAATTAAGAAAAATGGGGGTTAGAGGATCAATGTTTAATTGGATAAAATATTTTTTACATAATAGATCTGTACAAGTAAGAATAGGTCAACAATTGTCAGAAAAATACTTTGTTGAAAACTGAACACCTCAAGGAAGTATTGTGAGTCCTTGTTTTTCTCTATTATGATTAATTATATGTTTGATAAGTTAGAGAGTGGGATGGGTTGTTCATTATTTGCTGATGATGGAGAAATCTGGAAGAGAGGTAAGAACTTGAAATTCATAGTTAAGAAATTACAAGAAGCAATTTATAGTATAGAAGAGAGGTCATATAATTGGGGTTTTAAAATTTCAATAGATAAGACAAAGACTTTATTTTTCACTAGGAAGAAAGTATCTCGTGATTTAAAATTATATTTGTATAAACATGATTTAGAAAGAGTGAACGAGTTTAAGTGTTTGGGTTTGTGGATGGATGAAAAACTGACCTGGAGTAGTCATATTCAAAAAGTAGTGGATAAGTGTACAGTAAGAGAGTTTTAAATGTTATGAGGTGTTTGGTGGGGAGAGAGTGGGGAGCTGAGAGGAAAGCTTTAAAATCAATATATACGGGTTTAATAAGATCTGTATTAGATTATGGCAGCCTGGCATTTGGATCAGCATCAGAAACACTTCTTAAAAAATTAGATATTATTCAGTTTCAGGCCTTGAGGTTGTGTACAGGAGCCATCAGAACAACTCCAATCTCAGCTTTGTTAGTTGAAATGGGGGAAATACCTCTTTACCTTAGAAGATTACAGTTAAGATTATCTTACTGGAGTTATTTAAAGGGTCATTATGAAAACCATCCATGTCAAGAAATTTTAAAACCTAGTTGGGGAAAAGACTTTAAAATCCTTTGGTTGGGAGATAGAAAGTGATGTAAAAAAAATGTCAGTTATCATCCATAAAAATGAGTGATACAGTTCCTCTGTCACTGGTTCATCCGTCTCTATTTAATGAAATCATTGTAGACTTATCATTGTTGAAGAAGAGGGAAAAAGGAAATTTTTCAGAATCTTGCTCAGTCCAATCATATATAGAAAATAAATATTTTGGTTATGTTCAAGTGTATACAGATGCATCTAAAAGCCTAAGTAGCAACAATGGGGTGTCATTTATCGTCCCAGAATTTAATATTAAAAAATGTAAGAGGATTTCTGATGACGTATCAGTGTTTACAGGGGAAATGATGGGAATTATTTTGGCTTTGAGTTGGATTGAAGAGGTTCGTCCTTTAAGAAGTTTAATTTGTTCTGATTAAAGCTCATCGTTATATTCAATTAAAAATAATCAGTCCAATAGTAGACCAGACCTTCTATTGGCGATTCAGTTAATACTTTATAGAATTCAGGCCATGGGATTAATTGTCATTTTTACATGGGTTCCATCTCATATAGGAGTAATAGGAAATGAATTGGCAGACAGATATGCAAAACAAGCTTCAAAAAACAGTTACATTGAGATACTGATTCCATTTAGTAAATAGGAGATAAAATCTATTATAAAACAAAAGGTTAAGGAAAGATGGCAGAAGCAGTGGGAGGAGGAAAGAACTGGTAGATGGCTTGATAGCATTCAAAGGAAAGTTGGGGTAATGAGGGGAACAGGAAGAAGTAGAAAAGAAGATAATATCATATCCAGGTTACGTTTTGGTCATACAGGCTTAAACAGTACATTATTTATAATGGGAAGACATCATCAGGAAATTTTGAATTTTGTTTTCAAGATGAGACAGTAGAACATGTTTTATTGTTATGTCCAAAGTACTCTGAGGAGAGAAGGAAATTAGAATATCGACTTCTAAAGAATAAGTTACAGTTACAAATATCAGATATGTTGGGATATTGCTCCTCTTCTGAATATTTACGTTATTTAATAAGCTTTCTTAAGAAAACTAAACTTATAGAAAGGATTTAGTTGTTGTTTTTTTGCTTGTTTTTTTTAAAGTTGCATCCTGATCCACACTCCTTACCAGTAGGTGGCGGTAATGCACACCAATAAGTTGCTTGTCAACCGCCATTAAAACAAGAAACAACAACAACAACAACACTTCCCTGCCAGAGTGTTTGCCAGTAATGGTACCAGCAAAACCTGAGCCTGCTTCTCTGATCTGTTTTCCCTGATTTTTGTGAATCTGCCTGACCCTGTTTCTTTCTGCCTCACAGATCCAGTCCTGTCAGATCAACCTGAAATCCTGGAGAATATCTCAGTCTGGACTTTGCCTGCCTGCACTCAGTTCAGTCTCTGCTTGCCCTCAGCCCTTTGCCTGCCGACTAGCCTCTGGACCCTCAAAGTTCCCCCCCTGCTGATCAGTTCCACCTCTGAGCAGGTATTTCCCCCATCATCTGATAAACGGCTGTTTACCTGGAACTCCTCTAACCTCTCTGTCCTCCTCAGTGGTGATCCTGCCGTGACCAGTCTGACCACCCAAGTTCCAGTTCACATTTTTATAAACATTTTGTCAATAAACCTTTGAACGTTTTCCCTGCCTTCGAGTGTTTCTGCATGTGGGTTAGACCTCTAAATCCCAACATGACAAAGCTTACCTTCTTCGCTTGTTTGTTGGATAATCTAAACCAGCTGAAAGAATAAAAATAACATTAACAAACATGTAGCAGAGACCAGCAGATCTGCAGCTCAAAGAATCAACTCATAGAAAAATGAATCTCACCACTGAAAGATGCAGACTGCACTGCAGAGCATTATGATCCCCAGGATCTTCAATATAGCACAGAGACTGACTCCTGGCACTGGATTAAAGAAATGTTTGATAGATGAAGGATTTTTTATACAAAGAATAAAAATGAAACATTGAGAGAAAAACTGAGACTCACTTGCAATATTTTTTAGCTTAAAATATTTTACATTTGAATGATTAAACAACTCAACTTTTGAACTGTTTTCAAAATTTAACACAAAAGGCCCTTAGATTAGATACATTTAACTTTCTGGGCATATAAATGTGGATTCATTAAAAATCAATAGTAACAATGTACCTTCAGTATTAAGTAGAATCACTGCTGATCTCTGATTCCCCAGATCATTTGTAGCCTCACAGTAATACCCTCCTCCCTCAGTAACATTGAAGCTGTAAACCTTCCCCACAGATACATTAATGGCTCCATGTTTGCTGTTCCTGAACCAGGTGAAGCTGGCAGGAGGCTTGGCTCTGCTGGAGCAGCTCAGCTCCACCCAGCTACCTGCTGACACCAAACCTGATGGACTGATGGATGCTGAGGTGTCTTTAGGAGCATCTGAGGAAAATGGGACACACATTAACTTTATTGATCAGAAACAGCTGAACCATGACGTGCTGACAGGATCACTAACATGAAACACTGAGAGTCACTTCTGTCTCTGCTGTCTTGCTTCCTCCATTCACAGGATATCTGGCAGAACAGCTGATGTTGTATCCATCATGTGTGTCTGACAGAGTGATGGTCTCCTGGATTTTAGTTGTAAAGGTTCCATCTGGGTTTTTCTCTGTTTGTCTCTCAGAGTCTTGTTGGAGATTCCAGGTGAGTTCAGGAGGTGAGTGTGGACAGGGAGTCACAGCTGAGCAGCTTATAGTGACAGACTGATGCTCCTTCAGATCACCAACAGGGATATTAATGCTGGGACTACAAGGAGAATCTGGAAGTTATCATCAGACATAAAAAAAATACATATTTTTCCAAGTTTATAATGCAAATAAGAAATTGGTACAATTATTCCCATAAAGTCTTTATTAATTAACAGTCTGATTTTATGAGATATGTTTTAATACTTAATCATTTTTTACATTTATTAAGCTTTACTTTTTTCAACGCAGAAAACAGAAATTTTGGAAAACTATTTCAATTTTTTTAACTTTCGACCAAGTTTCTTTGATAGTTGATGTCAGATTTCTCTCCTTTGTTAAGGTTTGTTTTCTAGTTTTTAGTTTCACTGTAATTTTGTGTCTCTGTAGTTGTTTTCTGGCAGTGTTGTTTTATGTGTTGCTCTCTGTTGCCCCTTGTGCCAGTCTCCTCTCCCCTAGCTTCTAGTTGCTTCCATCCACACCTGCTCCTTGTCAGCTTATTAGACCAGTCTTTGTTCAGTCTCCATTTATATATATATATATATTTTTTTTTTTTTCTTGTGCAGTTTTTCTTTTCTGGTTCCTCGTCGTTAATTGACTCCTTATATGTGCGTTTTCCCCTGACGTCTTCTGGTTTTTGGTTTCCTGTATTTTGTTCTTGGATGTTGTTTCTGTTGCCTTTTCCGATTAAATCAGCTAAAACTCATCTCTGCATTTAGGTACTGAACCAATAACCACCCTACCTCGACAGTTGATGCCAATAAGTACTAACTTCATTTATATAGCTCCTTTTGAGATATAGATCACATAGGGCAGTTAAAAAGAAAGCTCAAGAATATCAACTGATTCTGTGAATAACAACAAATATATTCATCTAAATTCATTTCACATTTACTGTTTATAGTGTGATCTTCAAGATTTTTTTCCCTAAAAAGTGAGAAACTAAACATAATCCTGCCTACAGAATATTTCTAAAAGATTTCTTTTTCAACTGCAAGTTTTCCAAAATTACAGCTACCGGTACATGAAAAAAAACAAAACACAATTTCAAGCAGAAGCCAGTCTCTAGGAAAAAAAAAAAAAACAGGTAATCCTGCAGTAAGACTAAATTAGTGTATATTAAACAATAGTGAATATTACTTAATATAATTTTCAGACTTACAGTACTGAAGGTCTCTTACCTTTAACTGTTATATTGAGAGGATCATCACAAGCTGATGTTTTGATCGGCTCGTTCTCAATCCTGAAGAAGTATCTGTCTGTATAACTGGTCTTTACATCAGGAAACAGAGTGGTGCAGTTTTTCTCTCTCAGGTTTCCAGTAATATTCAGTGAATAGGTGTTAACTGACCAACTGCTGTTGAAAATAACTATCTTTAGATCAGAGCCAAAATTGTGAGCACCTTTCATCCAAACTCCATAGATAGTTCTGCTGCTGTCATATCTGGTATCCTCTGTATCATAGATACATGGGATTTCCAAACAAGATCCATTCAGAGCTTCAATCGTCCTTGGTGTAGTGATTCTGAGGGCTGGTTTTATAAAACCACAATCAGCCAAAGTACCTGTAAAAACAGACAAATGATGAACATGATGTGGAGCAAAATCTGCCTGCTTAGAATCTTCATGATCCAAAAACTCAAGTCCAGCTGCAGCTTTTTACATTTGGAGCCTTTAAACAACATCAGGATTTAATATTTCTAAATAAGAAAGTGAACAATCAGCTCACCTGGAAGAAAGAAGACACTCAGTAACATGTTGACTGTCAGCAGGTTCTCAGACAGAGCTGCCATCAGATTCAGACTCTGGAAACCAAACATTTAGCTGATTTATTACAGTGAATCTGAAATTAGACCTTCAGCTCGTAGCAAACAGCTTTCAATGTGCTGTAAATATTTAAATTTAAATATTAAAAAGTCTGTTGAAATATTTGGTTAAATGATCAGAGTCAGAAATAAGAACTCACTAGAATTTCTGCAGTAAAACAAAAACAAGTTTAGTTTTCAAACCAGTTGATCTGTTCAGATCAGTTGATCAGCAGCAGAATAAACAGCAGCCTTCCCTGTTACCAGATGTGTTATTTAAAGGCGTCTCCATCCTCTTTGCTCTGTGAAGGGGAAGTCTAAATGTTTCAAAAAAAGCAAATCATTTCATGAAGTTTGATTTAACTTACAGCTCATAGCCATTTTCTGAGTATAACTGCTTCTTCCCTTTTTCTAAGCTTTATTTACCTATGATATCGCAAAATATAAAAATACCAAACTAAAAAAGAGGCACAGCTGTTGGTAGGTCTCGATCATTAACGCTTTGTAAAGAGGAAGTCAGCTCTTTCTCACCACTGCATAAAGTCATCTCATGAAGTGTGTTTTAACACAGAGCTAAAAGCCATTTACTAAATATGATAAAAGCTGATTATTTTATATCGCACAGCTGGCTCAATCAATGCTAGATCAAAAAATCTGAAAATACCAAAACAACTGGAAAATACACATATTTATCATTTACCATAGAGGCATCAGTGTCTGTTCTCAATAAGAACCTCCTGCAGAATAAAAAAAAATCCTTAAGCTTTAACTTCTTGTTTTTACTTCAGTTTCTCAGGTTTTTCTCTCAAAAAACTCAAACAGATGGCTGTTTCTACTCAAACAGCCATCACTGCAAGTCTTAACATTTCTCTTTATTTGTATATGGGAGGAAATTGAAAAAAGAAGAAATGCTTTGTTGCTATACAAATATAGTTACCTTAACAACTACAATTTAAGGGTTTCCATAAGTACTTTTACTCCAAAGTCACTTTTTTGTATAATCAGTAGTATTCCTGTTTACTTTAATTCTTTACTATATATTTTTTCTTTTTTTTTTTTTATTTAGACTTTGCTCTTAATGTTCAAAGGCTTCTGTGGATTTTCAACAAAATCTAATGTTCTCTGAACTCAACAATAATGTGCACAAAACAATCCAGATGCATTAAACAGTGTGTAGCCATGCATGCAGGTGTAACATACCCTGGGTAGGTACCAGATCTGCTGCCCTGCCCTAAAAATAAAAAGTAACTGAGACTTTTTGTGTCACCTTGTTAAATGGAAGAGCTCAGTCTGCCTCAGGAGGCAGTACTTTCCTTCAAGACTGACAATGATTGTTTTTAGTTTTGGCTACTTTAGATCACCAATGAAATTTGAAATAATAGCACATATGAGTAATAATATGTTGAGACTCCAAAAGAGATTTGATCCTTACGAAAAGGGTGCAATACAGTTTGTTCGAGTGAAGTTGCCATATGTTGACGTTATAAGAAGGGGCAGATCTGAGCAGATCTGGTACCTACACCGGGCTTTGGGCCTGTTAGGCAGATTGAATGTTCCTGTAAAACAGGAGAATGAATGAAACAGGCAACAGCAATATTGAAGGAGAGCCTATGACCTCACTATACCGTGTCATGGAGTAATGTGCCACCTTCTGGTGTGAAGGTGCAACTACAACTCAAACAAATAATTACTCAAAGTCAGTCTTTCTCTTAATGTCAAACAAATAATAATGTAAATACACATTAGTATGTGTGACAGCCCTGCTGTGCTGTCGGGTGAGCATATGTGTTAACTGCCTAAATTAACACTATCAATTAAGGTCCTCTAGGTGGGAGGCGCTTCCATTATGCGGCCATCTGGTTGATATTTAAGGAGCGCCGTTCCATCTAGGAGCGTTGGTGTTCCCTGCTTGAGAGGCGCGTCTCCTGGTTGAAGCAAGCACGCCGCAGACAGCCATCCAGTCCAGTCCGGACCAGGTTGGGGACCCGACTTCCTGGTGTGGAGGGACCAGGCGTGATCGCCCCATCCGAGCTGCCGTCTGATGCCGGCATTTAGTTCATTCTTTTGATTCTGCTAAATAAATGCCTTTTACAGGCTTAAAATACTGCCTGTTTCCGTGTCCCCCCATTTTTTGTTGCGATCAGTCAAGCCGGGTCGTAACAAATGGGGGCTTGTCCGACAACTATACTTATAGAGTTTGGAAATTTGTTTGTTTGACTGCATGATGTGTTTCATTCATCTTTTTCCTGTTTGTAGGAGTGAGCAGTGACGTCACCTTTGTGGGTGGGGCACGGTTTTGTTAACCAGTTTGTGGGCAGCTGTGGCATGTTTGGTTGATCGATCCAATGTACAGGTAAGTGAAATGTTTTTTGAGGCCTGTGCATTAATGTTGGTTCTGCTTTAGTGATTGTGTCTCCTGCTAGGCTAAGTGGTGCTGTCGCTTCAGACTTCACCTGTTTGTTGTTTTGTTAGTGTCGTGGGGGTTTGCAGTTGGCGTTCACTGTGCAAGCAGTGATCTCGGGGGCAATCCAGGAGATTAATTTCTTACTGGTCTGGTGCTTAATAAACCCGCCGCCAATCCACGTGAAGAGCCAGGAATTAGTTAGGCAGGTGAGTCGTGACAGGCAGGTAAAGCATAGTGGGGACATGGTTGCTTTGGGCCCGTTGTGCACTTGTTTCAATTTACTTTCACTTTACACTGTTTTTGCCGTATATCTACAGGTGCTGGTCATAAAATTAGAATATCATGAAAAAGTAGATTGATTTCAGTAATTCCATTTAAAAAGTGAAACTTGTATATTATATTCACACATTACATACAAACTCATATATTTCAGATGTTTATTTTGTTTAATTTTGACGATTACAAATGACAACAAATGAAAATCTCAAATTCATCATATCAGAAAATTAGAATATTACTGAAGACCAATAAAAACAAAGGATTTATAGAAATGTTGGCCAACTGAAAAGTATGAACATGAAAAGTATGAGCATGTACAGCACTCAGTATTTAGTTGGGCCTCCTTTGGCCTGTATTACTGCAGCAATGCGGCGTGGCATGGAGTCGATCAGTCTGTGGCACTGCTCAGGTGTTATGATAGCCCAGGTTGCTCTAATAGTGGCTTTTAGCTCTTCTGAATTGTTGGGTCTGGTGTATTGCATCTTCTTCTTCACAATACCCCATAGATTTTCTATGGGGTTAAGGTCAGGAGAGTTTGCTGGCCAATTAAGAACAGGGATACCATGGTCCTTCAACCAGGTACTGG